TTATGTCTTTGAGAACACCTCGCAATTTTTTTCCGTTTATTTTTTCCCTCCATTTTTCACTTTGATACCATGCAATAGAAGACGTGCAAAAAGATAACACCTAACTCCACGAAACACATTTAGTCTGATTGTTAATGGCTATGTTATGAATGCTTATAACATGTTATGCTTAGTCCATGCTGGCCTATAGAGACATCTGTGAAAAACAGCAGTGCTTAAGCCACAGGTCAAACGAACACACAGGGGATGCATGGAGTGTAAAACAACATGGATCCATATAAATCACAATCTTTATCTCTTACTCTATGTAGCTATGGGGTAAAACAATGCACAAAATAGTTATTCGTCCATTGTTTTCTTAAGTAATGTATATGATTCTCTTTTCTTAACTTAAAAACATTGTTTGATTGGCACTTGATCAGCACTTCTAAACAAGTTATTGATATCTAACATTTGATCGCACATCTACAATTTCAGAAGCTGCAGAGGTCTAGTTTGGCACAGGTACAATTATTACTGTTACTATCTTACCAATACTGTATAGTATTCTATACACCTCGTTTTATGCCCCTGTCTTTTAGAGCATGTTTCTTAACAACAGACCAGACATATTTTCAACTAAAATATTTTTTATATTTTACTTATCAAATAGCAGCATTTTCATAACTTACAAAAAGTACATGTAAACCTATTCATTCAAAATCTTAGTAATTTCAAAGGTTCATACAATAGACATAACAAAAACACAAAACAGGACAACATGCTACTATATTGCTTCCAATATTCTTTAAGTTTTTCTTACGGTCAAACTAAATCATCAATAACAGAAATATGGACGCCACCTGTCGATGATGAGTCATCGTAATGCACAAACAAATCGCAAAGCTAATCTTAATCAGGGTTAGTTGGCACTCTTCATCATCCACACAAAGATAACATAGAGTTTCACACTGTATCGACGACGCTGGACTGCATTTGGACTACAAACTAGAATAGCTACAATTAAGTACATATAGATCATGTTGACATGACATATTCCACAGAAATGAATTTCTAGTCATTTTCCCGATAATAGGATATGCATAAAGGATGTCACTGTTTCAGCATGAGGTCACGAACGAGTTCCCACCTTTCTCTCTCATGTACTTTTTATATTTTTTAGAAACTCCTGCTTTCTTTTGTTAAGAGGCGGAAATAGAAGCTCTGTTTGGTCAACCAACAGACATTTGCTCATTCAACCAAGATTCGCCTTCCTATTTTGTTTCCAGTAGAAAAAAAACACATAAGCCCTCTCCTTCCCCTAAAAGGTCATAGATCACGGTGTAAGCCTGTCTAAATCCTACTTGTTCTTCTTTTAGTGGGGAATTTGATACCGTAGTTTGAACCAATGTTGCTGGTTGGTCTTGTGGGGTGTCACAGTTTGGAGGCAGGTGTTATCTGTGCATTTTTGTCTGGTGAACTCTATGGGCTGTGAAAATATTTGCATACCCTTATGACCTATAGTGCATAACTCCTATCAATCACTTCGGCACTCCCTGCAACCCCAGACGTCAGCGCCTATGAGTAGACGACAGGAGGGAGGAGAGAGAGGGGGAGCAGTGCGGAGGAGAGAGAAAAGGTAATCTGTATATAGAAGGACTCTGAAATAGACCAAAAAGAGCATGTGTAGCATGGGGGAAATATCTATAGAAAGAGGATGAAAAGTAATGAACGGAGAGAGAGAGGAGTTGGTACAATGTACAGATCAGACAGCTCTGGAGTAGTCTCTCTCTAAACCAAGTGTAGTTGCATTGCTTATATTATTAAATTCACCTTGATTTGTGCTTGTATTTTAAATCAGCATTAAAATGTTGTGAGGTTAGGGCTAAAATATGAAGGTTTTTTAACCCCACAGGTGGAAGAAGTTACAGATATTTTAACTGGAGTGCCATTTAATTTCAAGTAACTAGTGTACCGTTGAGTACTGTTAAAAGTCACAGCACATCCCATCAGAAATACAATGAAAGGGAAACGTGTATTCAGTGAGTCAAGGTAATGGGGCTCGTGGCTGGTGCCATGCCATGCGGAGCGCTCAAACACAGAGCTGTTAGTAAGGTGGGGTAAAGGTAAATTCTTTCTCGAGCAAACATTCCTTAGAATAACTATTGAATAGGATGGTGGAGAAGGAGCCTTGTCATTTCACTAAAAAGGGAGTGTTGCCGTTTCTTTCTCTGCCACTATCCTTTCCGGTCCTGTATTATTGGAAGCCGATCACAGAGCTCTGGTTACATAAGTCTATGGATAAATGTGTGAAATGGAAAAGTGGGTCAGAATAGGATTCAGGGACTGCTGTGCAGGAAAATAAATGTCGTAGGAGTCATTTGGGTTAATAAAAGGGTCAGTGCTATCCGGGATCCTTGGGATGTCCCTACCCTAAATCCTAACCCCTACACTTACCCTAACCTTAACCATAACCCTTACCTAACCATAACCATAACCATTTTACATTTAAACTTCAATGGGGTAGGGACATCCCAAAGATCCCGGATAGCATGGAACTTAATAAAAGACAATATGGTTGACTGATGTCTCTTGACTGATCAGTAGAAGAAACGTCCATAAGCAGCTCTCTGCTGTGCAATATTATTGGTATCCCAAAACATCTCCAAGACATCACATTATGGATGTTCTTGTGGAGATGTTCCTTATCTCGCTGCTCGGCTGTTTTTGCTCTAGAACAGGGTTGGGAAACTCTGATTGGTGTCACACTTTTGTTCCAGCCCCAGCTAACACACCTGACTCCAATAATCAACTAATCATGATCTTCAGTTTACAATGTGATTAGTTTAATCAGCTGTGTTTGCTAGGGATGGGGAAGAAGCGTGACACCACTCCGGCCCCCGAGGACTGTAGTGGCCCATCCCTGCTCTAGAACATGCGTTGCAAGTGTGCCAGTTGTAGGCCTATATCTTGGATATGTACTTGAAAATATGATCACTTGGCTCAAGAAGGGACAGACACACTTTGCGTTGTGTCTTTGTTGTGTCTCACAGTGCAGTCATAAGAGACCCAGTGTACTCGGATGAAAACCAATGGATAGCAGCGCAGAAGCAAGCAAGGGTAATCTTTGTGTGTTTGAGAATGTTCTAGAAGACAATTACCCTCCCTGCGTTTTTGACAAACAATTATCCTTACAGAATGTCAGCTAAATGTTTGGGCAACGCATTATGCACTACTGCCAATGTAAGCTAGCGTCAATGTCTGCTTTAAGCAAGATAACAGGTTGGACTAACCAACTGCATAAACTGTTAGACTCCATATTTGTATTGACTCTGGTTGAGAAAAATGGTTCACAGAAAATGTGTTTCAGTCCAAATGTGTTTCATGGTAAGTCCATTTCTTTCTCATTAGTGTCTTTCTTGACTACCAGCCACCCTGATATAAAGCAATCATCTCCTTGCTCACAGATAAGGTTCAATACTGCTTTTCTTAACAAGACTGCTTTGTAGTGCTTCTTTCCCTTGGGGACTCTTCCGGTTAGATTCTTCAATTGAAAAGGTAATGTAAGATACCTCAAGCTGTGTATAGTGCGGTCTTCCCTCTCGGATTTGATGCTCTATCCCATGGGGGTTTAATCACATTTCTACATAGGAGTATGTCCCAAGGCGCAATATCGGCAGGCAAACTCAAAGTACAGGGCCAATTCATGACAATAGGATAAAACATATTTTTAACCAGTAACTACGTTATTTGGATCTAAACTGTCCACGGTGGCTTTGCCATGGCAGCTAAAGGAGAACTAGTGGGGTAAAATATTAAGACTGACCTTCAACAGCATGAAATCCAGTCTTTGCTTACCTAAAGGCAGAACTAGATCCCATAAACTACAGATAAGTGGACAACGCTTGGCATCTTACAATCAAGGAGAGGGAGAGCAATCTCCAAAGGGATTTTCAATTTAGGTGATCCAGGTAATATAGGCCTATCTATCTGTATGTTTTCGTAGCACCAAAAGTGGTGTGTATGTGGGTGGCGGTAAACATGTATGAATGTGTGTCTGTTCCTGTGTATGTGTGTGTACATTCCTGCGTGTCTCCTCTATCCTCTCACATTGAACATTTGACCCCTGATCTACACTTATATATAGTTACTGTGCAGTTCTGGGTTAAAACTATACATATCTGTCATTGCAACTCAGCATTTGATCCTCGTTAATAACAAAATAACAATAATAATGTCTTTACATTCACATCAACCCGAATTCACAGGTTTAAATAATCTACATGTTTGAATGAGACCATATTTAAATAAATAATTGATTAAAATAAAAAGAATAACAACCGAATTGTTAAAACCTCAATTTTGATATGAACCATACAGTGGCATGTCATTAATATTGTGATATCCATTAAGAATTTAGATAAAAATGGCTGCCTAATGGTCTTGGATGACCTCTGGTGCTCGTCATTTAACCTCTCCCATGTAAATAAGGCTTTTTGCTTTGTTCACACAGAGCGAGGTTAACATCAATGCAAAAAGGCATGAGCAAAATGCTATCTCTGCTCTTTTAGAATGTCTGGAACCTCAACTCACCGGGAGCAGAGGTCTACAAATGAAGCTGAAAAATCAACACAGCCAAAGAAAAGAAAAACGGAAGAGAAAGAAACCCAAAAGAAACCCAGCTGTGAGGTTTTTGAAGGGGGGTGAAATCGTGTGGACTCACCCCTGAATCTGCTGCTTGGCAGTGGACCAGTTCAGCTTTACTCTGATCACAGTCATCAAAAGGACTCAACACCACTTTTAAAAAACATCACAACCTCGGTCCTAAAAACACAATCACATATCACACACACTTCTCCTGGCTTTCTCTCTGCCTCACCTCCTCCATTGTGACCTTCTCTTTTTGATACTGAAATATTGAATGGATATTTGGACGTTTTTTCCCCTCTCCGTGACCTTTGATTCCCTTTCTTTTCTCTGTCTCCATCCTTCCTTTATTTCATCCTTTATTTTTTCATTTAGCCCACCTTCTGTGGGTTGGTGGCACGCACACCCTGCTCGTAGGTGATCCTCTGGCTGATCAGATACTGGGCGGCTTGCGTTGCCGCGGGCGACCCTGTTATGGTAACTTTACGGTTCCGTGTGCCGGGTATGAACTCTCCCTTTTTGGAGATCTGGATGCGGGCACCCGTCAGCTCCTGGTACTCAACCAGCGTTTTCCCGCCTTTTCCCAGGATGGCACCCACCAGATTCTCGGGCACAGCAATCTCCACCACGTCCTTGGCCCCGTCTCCCAGCTTCTCTGCGGCTAGCAGGGAGGAGGCCATCAGCGGGGACGAGGCATTCAGGTAGCCGTTGGAGGCCCCCGTGGCGGCGGCCAGTGAGCCCAGGGAGAAGCCCCCAAGGCCGACAGCGGGATGGCCGGAGCCGCCGGAGGCATCGCTGGCATAGGAGGCCAGGAGGTTAGCGGCGGCAGCAGCAGCTGGGTTAGCACTAGCTGCCACGGCGGCCAGGACCCCAGAGGCAGCGGCGGGGTTGAGGCCCAGGCCCAGGGTGTTGGTGTTGTAGCCATAGCTGGCCAGTGTGTTGAGGGCCGAGGTGATGGCCAGCAGGTCATTGCCAGAGAAGCTGGACATGGTGCCCGGGAAGCCGCCCATTCCTGCCAGGCCGGCCTGGCCTAGAAGGCTGGAGGCAGTGGCAGCAGCTGCAGCGGCGTTGGGCAGGACCTCAGCTGAGTTGGCGTAGGGGGAACCGGTGGGGTTGGAGTTGGCCACGGGGCCCGAAATGTTGGAGTAGCTGATGTTGAGGCAGCTGCTGCTCTGAGGGTCCTCCTGGATCTTCTGCACAATGATCTCCACGGCTTTGCGGTTCTGCTCGGGCTCCCCGCTGATCGTGACCACGCGCTCCTGCAGGTTGATGCCTTCAGGCTTCTGGGACAGCTGCACCCAGGCACCCGACTGCTCCATCACCGCCTTGACCGTGGCCCCGCCCTTACCGATGATCAGCCCAGCCGTGCTGTTGGGCACTATTAATTTAGCCTGCAGAGGAATGGTGGGAGCCGGAGAGAGGGAGGGAGGAAGGGAGAGAGGCAGAAAGAGAGATTGAAATGTAGGAAAGAGAGAGAGAACGAGAGAAAGATATCTCTCACTGAGTCATTCTACTATCCCAGCCCTCTGCTTTACTCAGCGATGTGTTAATCCCAGGGGTTAAGGCTGCAGCTGCTGTCCAGCTCTGTGGCACTGTGGAGGACCTAGCGGACGGGCAGCCGTTAAAAATAACCCCATGCCCTCACATTTTCCTGACCCTGCCAGGGTTGTGGGGCAGATGCCCCTGTGAGACAAAGTGTGACTGTGTTCTTGCCATGTACTGACCACGTGCCCTTATGACTCTGCATGTCTACACTATTGACATCAGACAGATCAGTCGTATTCTATATGTGATAAGCACGGCGTGGACCATGGCCTATGTTAAGTATGGTGGTTGGTCAGGGTTGGCTGACTGTAAGGGACCGTGCCTCACCTGTTTGACGCGATCGGGGTTGACAGTAGTCTGTGGTTGCAGTATGCTGACTGGCTCTGTTTTCTGGGTGCTCTGAGGCATCTCACGGACTTTCTCCGCGATGAAGCTGTGGACGCCATTTAGCGCCTCGACCGTACCCTGTATCAGACACACACGCTCTGTGGTTCCTGTGGAGATAGAACAAAAATCATAAACAGTATCAGTAATACCCACATGAAAAGATACTACAGTTTACTATAGAATACTACAGTACTAAATCATTCTATAGTAAACTCTGGTATACTGTAGAATACAATACACTGTAGTATACCATGATAATGTGTATTTATTTCTTTTGATATTTTTTTCCTAGTTTTATTAGTCGTACGTACGGGATACGCATGGTATACATTGTCCAACGAAATGCTTACTAGTACTTTCTATAGAATGTTGTAGTATACTGTAGAATACTATAGTAAATACTACAGTATACAACAGACCACAAAAACATTACAGTAAATACGAATTACTACAGTACTTAATTTGCATATACCCTGCCCATTCCCCTCCCCCATATCCCAATTTGTGGCACCCATAAGTGATAAACCGACATGCCAAGTATAGACCATATATTGTGTTCCCTACAAGTTAAAGAAAAGAGCAGAAGCGCTAAACTGTCCGTTCAGACTCCAGTCTTACCAACCTACAGGTTATGGAAAATGTGGTCTTTGAGTATTTTGTCCAGTAGGTTTCCTCAAGGACAAAGCCCTCACTGCTATGTCAAAGATAATAAATTTAAAAAACACTATAGTAATGTCTGCAAAAACCCTGCAGTTAATACTACAGTATATTACAGTCTGCAAAAACACTACAATAAATAATACATTATTACGCTGCGTTGCGTCATGCCTAGGAACAGCCCTTAGCCATGGTATATTGGCCATATACCACACCCCCTCGGGCCTTATTGCTTAAATATACCACGGGTATGATGCAAAATTACTTGTTTACTGTTCTGATTATGTTGGTAACCAGTTTATAATAGCAATAAGGCACCTCAGGGGTTTGTGGTATATGGCCAATATACCACGGTTAAGGTCTGTATCCAGGCACTCCGCGTTGCGTTATGCATAAGAACAGCCTTTAGCCATTGTATAATGGCCATATACCACACCTCCTCGGGACTTATTGCTTATGTATATTACAGTCCGCAAAAACACTACAGTAATTACTAGTATATACTACAATTTTTTTTCTTACAACAGTATTTATACTACAGTAAGCTGTAAATACTACAGTATACTACATTCATGTCCGCAAATCTACAGTAAATACAGTAAAGTCTGCAAAAAAACACTTAATTGAATACTATAGTATTTAACCATAGTATACGATAGTCTTTTGTTAGGGTGGGTACTTTCTAGCCTAGCGGTTAAGAGCGTTGGGCCAGTAACCGAAAGGTCGTTGGTTCGAATCCCTGACCCGGCAAGGTGGAAAAATCTGCCGTTCTGCCCTTGAGCAAGGCAGATACCCCCAACAACAACTGCTCCCCAGGCGCTGTGGACGTTGATTAAGGCAGCCCCCGCACCTCTCTGATTCAGAGGGGTTGGGTTAAATGCGGAAGACACATTTCGGTTGAATGCATTCAGCTGTGCAACTGAGTAAGTTTTCCCTTTCTTCGGCATCACAGTCTTGTGAGAGCGTAGATTCTTGTGCCTTGGGGTCAGCGTCTGATGTGGCTGTAGTATATCACTTACAAGAGGCTTCCTTGTTCAATTTAAGGAACAGGATTTCTTGGATGAAACATGTTTTTGCCAAGGACCTATTTTACAAAAAGTAGTACCTAGTGTTGCAAAGCAACCCCATTTATAACTGAATAGTTACTTATGCAGTGACTATTTGCAGAAAATAAAATAATGCTTGAGGTTTGATAACAGTTTCTTTATACAGTGGTGCTAATTGCCAACCTATCCAATAATACTCCATATAGGTGCTCAAAAATAGAGCAGCTGAAAGAGAAGAAAAGACAAGCTCGGGTAACAAACCACTATGGGGACAAAGGATTCCTCCTAAATGATGTAACTCTTCCAGAGCCCTGGAATTCTGGCCTGTCCTCGCCCCCCTACCTCCTCCATAGACTCCACACATCCTTCCCTCACCGAGGCTTCTTTCTACACCCCCTTTGTCGGCCCTACCGGAATTCCGTTGCCATGGTTAAGGAGCTGCGCCGTAGGAACAGGTGATGCAATGGCGTGTCCTTTCTATAGCCTGCATCTTCTCTTCCTTTGACTGTTTATCTTTCAGAATGAAGAAGGACCTTGATTCTGGAGTCCAGTTGCTTCAGTCCAAAGCCTTACCCTGCAGTTCTTTAACTGCAGAGGGCCATAAAGTGGTAACAACCAGCTTCGTTTCACTCTGAATACTAAAAGGCTGTCTTCAAAGCATTTCAATGAGGTTACTTAACTTTAACCTGCTTTTTGATGGAACTACCTCACCCAAAGAGGACTGACTTGGTGTAGTATTTCAGGGTGAGGTCTTTCAGTTTTTCAGCTAATCGAAAACATCAGCACCATATTCGTATGACATCATAACTATTTGATCTGTTCATGCAGCACGGTGTGTAACTGTATATACTAGCTGGGCTGACGGCCAGCTGCACAAAGCAGGGAGTCTGGATTTTTGGTTCTAAGATCTTTGCGCCCTTACCAGGGACTCTCAGCTTCATTTGCAGCTGCTGTGAACAGTGTGTGTATGTGAATGCGTACACACGTGTGTGTACAGTATGACTGAACAGTATGTTGTTCACATACTGGGGTAGGGGTCATTTTGTCATGTAAGGTATCAGTAAGGATGCGATCGTATGACAAAAAGGGGGCTGGGGCTGTTCTTTACTACACAAACAAAACTCTGTAGAGACAGCACAATGCCATCTAATCTGGATCAAACTTTTAAGAACAAATGCTATGAGAAAAACCGACTCAGGAGAGAGAGAGGGGAGGAGGAAACTTGGCGTAGTGAGAGGGCATCTTGAGTCCAGTGGGGGCAGGGTCACTTCCAGAGAGAGAAAGATTGAAAAAGGGTATTTCTGGGCCTGCACCCCGTCCCTTCCCCTCACACACAATCATGCATCATCCACACCCTTCACTATCTCCAGTCATCTATCTCAGGCCGCCACAGCAGGACCTAGTCATACAGTTCCCATTCCCATCGAGGCCTTCCCCCATTCATGGTTTCATGTCTGGCGGATGGGAGACGGGAGGTGGGTGGGATTGTTCTAACTTCGACTTTCACTATTGAGCGGATTGCTAGGGGAAATAGCTCTGTCTGTCTCCTCGTTGTGCTGTAGGTAGGGTAAGCCAAGGCAGCTGCAGTGTTACAGGTTAAGAGGTGATCTGTGCGTACTGGTATTTACATGACAAGTCAGCACAGGCCTCTCATAGCTGAACACAAATCACCCTTTTCATTAAAAACATATGTTAGATAAAGTATTGTGGCCTAATTTACGATGTGTTTGCACTTAGTTCAGAAGGGAATAGATCACGAAAGGTAGAACAAAAATGAAGGTTACAGACTTGCGATAAGGAAAAAGGAAGTAAAAATAACGTTCAATTGATTAGCCTTGTTTGTTGTCTTAATTCCTTAGGAAAATAACGTGTGCAAACTTTGCACAGGTGCAGATGCATCGTATATTTGGTCCTAAGTGTATATTGAAGTAGCATACATACAGACTTTCTGAAAGAGAAGTTCTGGCCCATTGTGTGAGATGGTGTAGTAGTTTAATTTTACTTTGGGGGGCCCTAGCAGCACCCAATCAAATCGCTGCCAGTACCATCTCCCTGAACTCCTCACTCATCGCAATAATGAGGAGGGGGAGGGGCAGAGCAGGTGGTCTCCTATCAACACATCCACCATCCAGAGAGAGGAGGAGGATACAAAAGCACAACTGCTTCAATGTGTGTTTTCTAGGTAGACAAAGAAAGTAGTGCTGATACATTATATGCAACAGTAAGCCATTTACTAGAGTTCATTTTCAGCGTGTCATGGTTACCATTGATGAATCCAGTTTTTCAGATATTGCAGTAGTGGGGGAGGGGAAGAGACAGGAGATTGTCTAAGAAATGGATACCCTAAAAATGACATTTGATGGTACTTCTATTCTTTGACAAGGTTTAGTCAAAGCGAAAATATCAGAAAATAGGCCATATTTGAGCCATATTGCCATTTTGTTTTCTGCAGGCAGTTTAATCCTTATGTTCTACATGTAGCTAATCTATAATTGGTTGCTTGAGGCAATCACAGAATTTACTATAAGCCATATATTGTAAAAAGGAACAAAAGCCAGTACATTAATTATTTCCATTTATGTATCTGTGTGGTACAGAAATGCGTTCAGTTTGACAGTACCACAGTCCATTGCCTATGTGTTGAAAACAGGCGATCAGTACAAAATAAATAAGATAATTTAGTTCAATTAGTTATTACAAAAGAGATCTGGACTTGATCAAAAGTGAGCCGCTGAACACCTGTTATTTTTCAGCAGGTTGAAGCTTCCTTAGCCATGAAGGACAAACGCAGATACTTTTCTGCGGCTCGGGCATTTCTCTTCCGAGGACAAAATGCTTCAGCACCAACCAGAGTGTGCAGTGACCTCCATCAGTGTGGGGTCATTGGGGAAAAAATGAGCATCTTTTTCCATGTTGACATGTTTTTTTTTAACAAGGCCCTATTGGGAGACTAGTGCTTTCAGTGTACCTTACATGTCCTCGACATTGGAGAATGTGCTCTCTCCATCTTGGAGTAAAATGTCAGCCAGGCAGCTAAGGGGGAAATTGATTAAATGCGGTCTTTGCATTGTAGCAGAATGAAGAATGATAGTACTTCTGGGGAATACAGACTTTACAATGAAATAGGATAAGCGCCCTGCTAAGAGCACAGACAAATTGAAAGAGAAATTGCTTGCATCTTTAAATGATACTCCTGCGTCAATAGCAGCTATCTGCATGGGTCTTTTGTCTGGGTAAAAATACTGTGCATTTGGAAGGCTGGATCAAACTGGTTGGGTTCCCCAGCTGGAATTCAAACTGCAGCGTAACCAACGAATAACAGAGTCTTCTACTGGACTTGGATTCAGAGAGTGCCATGGTTTTGGGGGCTCTTACTTGTGTGTAAGCCTTTTAGGGCTGTCCCCGACAAAAAAAGATATTGTATTTTTCCATATAAAGACACACCCTATGTGTTTTAATAAAATCAACTATATGTACTGAGCTTGTCTGATGCTTTAAGCTCACTGTTTGATGAAATAATTTAGACAAACAAATGACGCTAGAGGGATCTGACCGCAATTTATTTGATTGTGCTGGGCCGGGCTCAGACTTGCTGCGCTTTGTTAAAAGAAAATGACAGTGAGTGCCTGTGTGACTATCACCTGTTGTCTCTCTCCTCCCTGCTGCAGCGACCACCACAGAACACCAACAGTGTTTATCGCACTGTCCGTGTTGCTGTAGCTGCAACATAATTACAGCCATTTCTGACTGAAAAGTTCTGTTACCATAATCTTTACTTTGTTTAGGATTTTTTTATTTATTCTCTCAACCCTTGCTCTCTTTACATGAAATGCGTAAGCATCACATGCACGTGACCAATAGGGCCTGACCTATAGCCTATCATAATCACATCAATACATTTGTTATAAACTGCGAACACCGTAACTAACACATGACAGCAAAATGGATGCGGTGGACGTCAGAAAGAAACTCGAAACGGGGGAATGTTTTACTGGTTGCTCAGGAATTAAAGGATAAGTCAGTTGTGTGAAAGAAATTTGTTTTCTTAGTTGTGGAAACTACTGGAGATCAAGAAAAATAAGGAAGGTAAGGAGTAAGTGCTGCGTGAGTATTATGTGTGCCAAACAGGTGCAATATACATTTTTTCGGACCATTTGGAACAGTGTACACAACACTAAATACATTATAAGCGTACCTTTTTTGTAAAGCCTTTATTACAGGCAAGACTAAAAACAGTCCCATGCATTCGTGAATGCAATTGCCAACATAGAACGGTTTATTTATTTTTTAGGCTAATTATTCAATGCTCCCTTTGTTATTTCATTTAAAAACTAAAATGCTTGATTGTATTTCAAATCATGAATGACTCGTATGCTGTGTGATGACATGAATGAATGAATGATTGATTGATACAGTAGCCTATATATTGACATATAGGCCTAAATAAGTTACGGTATTAAGACAGATAAGAGCGTCTGCTAAATGACTAAAATGTAAATGTAAACAGGATGCGCTCTTAGGCCTACAGCTGGTGGTTATACAAGGCTGCTATACTAAGCCTACTAATGATAATGACATTACTAATTATTATAATGACCATAAAAATTGCAATAATAACAACAATAAGAAGGAGATCAAGAAAAAGGAGGGTATAGGAGCGAGAGAGGCTGTTCTAACAAAAAAAAGTGTAAAGCCTTTATGACAGCATAGCAAAGATTAAACACAGCCCAATCTGTGAAATGGCTTTATCCGACATGTTGTGGTTGCGTGAGGCTTGGAGCTCACAGAATCAGTAGGCTATTAAACAAGCACTCAAATAGGCAACAGAAGCAGGATCTGTTTTATTTCTGTAGATATATATGGATGATTTATAAAGCCAGGCACATTTAACAGTTAGGTTACTTTTCTTAGACAATTAAGGCAAGGGCTGTTTCCTCGTCTCCTGACTCCACTGGTGCCTCCGCCGCATTGTTCTCAACACCAATATGCTGGATAACTTTGCTATTATGCAAATAGCAACATGGTCTAGGAAAAGAACCGCAGACAGCAACCGCTATCCAATGTGGGATATTATTTTTCTTAGTGTTGCACCATTGTTCTTACATAATATAACCATATACAATTTCAGTAGCACATGTCTTAAAGTGATGGACTGTGCCATCTCCACTGCCTCCGCAATGGATTAGTCCACTGAGACATGCGCGACTCAGACAGGTGTCTTGTGCACCATGAAAAAAACTACAACATTTGCGACTGACTGCTGGACTAAAGAAAGCTTGGTCGACCAACAGCCTATCGACCAAACAATCCACCAGTCAACTAAATGGGGTCAGCCCTAAAGCCTTTACATTTGGACAATGTGATCATGGACAAAGTGAGGTCCACTTACCTGGGTAGAAGTCTTTGGATTTGGACAGCTTGATGGTGGCGCCCGTCTCTTTCTGCAGCTGTACGATGGTCTGGCCGCCCTTGCCAATTATAGAGCCGGCCGCATAGCTGGGGATCAGCACCTTCAGGAAGTACTCACCCTCCTCTGTAGGGACAGAGAGAGAGACAAATAGACAGGAGGTCAGAGCTAGTAAAGAAGCTCGTCTACGCACATTATATACACCATACTGAAAGTAACCCAGTCACCTCAGCCGATTCACGCCTGCAGCACGGAGTAGACTACAATTCACATTCACAATGTATCCCTTCTGGGTCCATTCAATCATTCACAATAGGAACATGTACGTGTCAGATGCATACACATGAATAGGTAGCTAGCCACATATCTTCTTGTCAGACTGGCTTTGGTAGGTAGGTATCTAGAGACGGGTTTTTCATTTCGGAGTGTGATTCTTTTGCAGCCTCTAGTCCCACATTTCATCAGAGTTCTGTGTTCTGTCCCAGATTTCCTGTTGAGTAAATGCTGACCTCCTTTCCAGTTTGCAGAGGTCTAATTTTAACTGTTTTCAAGGAGTTTTAGTATCCTTTATCAGAATCTTCGGGACAAAATATCTAATTGACGGTCCAGTTCAAGCCAACTCCTACATAATGTTATCAATCATGTTGCAATCCAAGAGACAAAGGGGAGCATAAACAACATCAGAATAATGTGAAAATTATAGGATATAATAACATTACTCTGAATTTTACTCACACAGGACTATGTCAAAACATATCAATCTTATGCTTGCAGTGCATGAAATCCAACCGAGTGTGATCCTGAGTAATGACTGTTAGGGATGAGAACATAAGGGACTGAAATCCCTCAGATTTTATCAAACTGGATACTGTCAAAAAAACAGACTCAATGTCCTCCCATTTAAAAGGGGGTTCAGTGGCTTACTACACTGTCTTGTATCAGTCAGTGATTGATGTCGTGTCCGCTCAAAGAATTGACCGACCAAATCTTCTGTTCTTCAACCTTTTAATTGAGAATGTTCCCCTCCATACACGTAATGGCTAATCAAAAATACTTACTGTAACCATCACCCAGGTGAGCACTAGCAGTGTGTGTCAATCCAAACAAATCCAGATTGGGTAGGCTAAATTCCGACAAGAGCAATCAACCCAATGTTGGGATTGGACACAGTGCCAATTACTGTGAATACCAACCCAAAGATGGTGGATAAATGAAGATGTCCCACTCAGGCCATTTACCATTGAAAAAAATGGTCACAGTATCAGTCTGCTTAAGGCAGGGCTCCCCAACCCTGTTCCTGGAGAGTGTTGTTCCAACCCTGATCTAGCGCACCTAATTCTAATAATTAGCTGGTTGATAGGTGAATCAGGTTAGTTACAACTGGGGTTGGAGCGAAAAAACCTACAGGAAGGTGGCTCTCCAGGAACAGGGTTGGAGAGCCCTGACTTAAGGGGTAGCTCTCCCATAGACACCAATGCGATAGCAGCTGGGTCTGGTCTGTTTAGTTAATTGACTGTAGGCCTATATTAACCAGAATAAATGAGCAACTGGGATGTCTCACTTCCTCTTCCATCTCTGTACCAACCAACACCTGGTTGTGCTATTCCAGACATAAGTAATCAACAGGGGAGACAGACATGCAATCTATGTATGAACCTGTGGGAACAATAAGTACCCAATATCACCCAAGAAATCAATTAGATAATTGTAGCCTACATCATTCTTCAAATGCTGGTATGACCCAAAAATGATCTAGTATGTTTTTTCAGATATAATCTATTATCTTTAACATACATTTTTCAATGAATGACGTCACTTTGGGACCTCTTCAATGCCTCTACCAGCAGCAAGTGTGACGTCACTCTGTCAACAAGGCACGTTCAAAGAACTGTTCATATATGCATTCAAACGAGTTTTGAATACAGACCAGCACAAAAAATATAATGATGATATCACAACATTGTTGTTAGTTTTAGGGTGCCAACGCTAAGATGCGTGTTTGCCTGTGTCGTCGTTGTATAGCTTCATGCAGGGGGGTGGATCTGCAGGCTTGTCCAGGGAAGATGGATGGATAGAGCTCTGCACACATCGGTGTCACTGTTCTAAGACTGACCTTCTGTTTGCCTCCAAAATGGGCTCATTAGATCCTGATCATAATGAACGTGGCACTGTGACATCTAGGGATTTCACAGTCCCTCTACGTGTCAGCTCTCTACTGATTCTTTTAACATGCCCCTCATGTTCCATTTGGATTTTCATAGGTCTCTCAATACAGTCATGACATGTTGATTTCTCAAATCCAAAGTCAATCAGATTTCATTCAGTTACCTCAGACTAAAGGACCTTCCTCGCTGCTCACACATTACACTACTAGAACCAACATTTACATGAACATTCAACCTTCAACGTCTAGTCCGTCAACACATTTATATTGTAAATCACACTGATGAATGATATAGCCTTTCTGAGAACATCTATCATTCCTCTATCAATCAGAGAGAAACCATTATGATGGCATTACACTCAACACAAACCATATCTTTAGCCAAGGCCCTTTTTCTGCTTGGATTTCTGCTTTCTACTCCACTCATCTTCCCCTTTCAGAGAAACATGATGATAGATGACCTTGATGAAAAAGTAAAGACCATTGCTCAGACATTGTCTTCATGGAGCTACAGGCTCTTTCTACTGTCAGTCAGAGGACAAATGTTACTACAACTCTCCACACAGGGCAAACTGAACAATAGGAATGGAACAGTGGAAATGTCCTCTATTACACCTGTGTTGGCAGGGGTGTACAAGTCCCCGTTTCTATGTGTCTTAAAACCAGGGTGAACCCAGCATGGGAGAGCATGCCATTGAGTTTCCCTCCATTGCCCTCACAGCAGAGTTTTGTCATTAGTCAATAATTAATTCTGTCCTAGAGTCTGAAAAAACACAGTAACAGGTTTCAATGGTGTCATGTGGTAGAGTAAACATGGCAATCTGTTGCTGCAATCCGCCAGGGGAATGGGAGCAGTATGGGGCATGTTGGGGAGCTAACGTTAAGCCAGTCGAGGGTATTGAGTTCAAACCCCATGCATCTAATACTGGGGGGATGGCTTGGAGAGACACAGACAACGAGCCAAACGTGTTTAGTGAAATCACATTATTGCCCCCACCCCCCCCTCCAAATACCCACTCTGCATTTCAATGGACCAACCTGCCGCTGACAGGCAACAAGGACGATGGAACAAAACGGCCAATAATGAGCAGATGAGATTTCAGGTAGTCAAATATAAAAGAGTTGAGTGTGATAAATGAATTCAACAAGTCACGACAAAAACAGTTTGGCTCTTACCCATTCTGAGATCTGCTGGTAAAATCCTCTGTCAGATCGCCATCAATGCCGGGGTACAATCTCTTAAGGGTACCTTAACGTTAGGCTAGTCATAGGTGAAATGGTGGCGTTGAGGAATGCGGCCAGTCAACCTTTTTAACCGAGGTCTAATACATCAGTGGGTTCAAAAAAAAGATTTCACCGCAACATCCAAGTCATGCCTGCAGCTGGCCAGAGCCTCGATTGTCTGAGAAAATGCTAATGCAGGCTCTCAGTGTTTTCAGTGAAAGACGCCACGCATTGTTCAAGCCTGCACCGGTTTGAAGGGGGGGTCTTCCCTGCCGCATCACCCTTTTCACTGCTCTCATCCATATTCATCGAGTGGCCTGTCCGTCTGCAGCAGCGTGGACAACTGACAACTCGCCTGGCCAATGGGCAGCCTCCTCCCCCAGCACGTCATGCCCCCACCCCCCCAATGCCTATCCCCCAAAAAATAGATATTCTTCCCCAGTCCGCCTCTTTTGACGCAGCACTATAAAGCGTAGCGGCCCATTCACTTTATTTTTCCGTGGAAAATGACAAAAGTGAAACAGGCAGTGGGGTTGGTTTGTGCGTTTCATGGGAGAGAGCGTGGGGTTACCTTGACCTATGATTGAAAAGGTGTGTGGATGTAGTGAGTGGATGATGAAGGAGGTGGAGGAGGAGTGATCTCCCACCCCTCTTCCCTCAGACGGCCATGTTTGAGCGGGGGGGGGGGGGGGGGGGGGCCTCATCAACCACTGCAAATGGCAGTGCCGCAGAATGGTGTAGGTGGGGGGAGGAGGGCAACGAAGCCAATCACTATGTCTATAAATCGTATAGACTATAGAGAGCAGTATCCTATGTGTGTGTGTGTGGGGGGGGGGGGGGGGGGGTTGGTTTGGATCCGCTCAATAGTAATTTCCAGGTATTTTCTAGATACATTTCCAATGTCTTTAAATCATAGAGCAAACTGGGGTAACAACTGAGGCACATAAACATCTTTGTGACTGTCTTCCAGTACATTATACCAATAAACCATTCATTGTGTCGCCAGGACTCACTGGTGTGGCTACATGAGCATTGTCTCTCTATAGGCTCCCCCCTCTCTCCCTCTGCCACCTGGCAAATTCATAGTCCGCTCACGTCACATCACTCTGCAAGGGCACCTGTGTCCTTCTCACACAAAAAAACCACCACATTCCTCTGCCAACCTTTCCATTAGCAACATTACCATATCATACCTAATCCAGGACATGGGTAATTACAGGCTAAATTAGCATGAGCGATGAATGAAAAATATGTTCGTTTTGAGGAGAGGGGTGTTGCTTATTTAAAAAAAGGAGAAGAAATAGGCTACCTCGTCCTCGAGTTGGGCAGGAATTCTCCAGCAATCCTAAATGCACAGTAGGCACACAGCAGTAAAAACCACCACCATCTTACTCCTTTTTTATGGTCATTGCCAGTCATGTTAATGACCAACAGGAATGATGATGTGATAAATATCAGACACAATGTGTAATGTAATGACCAAGATGGCTGAGAATCATCAAGCCGTGACACCAGAAAAAACGTATTACGTCAAAAGTTTGGACACACCTATTCATTGCAGGGTTTTTCTTTATTTTTACTATTTTCTACATTGTAGAATAATAGTGAATACATCAAAACTATGAAATAACACATATGGAATCATGTAGTAACCAAAAAAGTGTTACACAAATCAAAATATATTTTATATATTTGAGATTCTTCAAAGTAGCCACCCTTTGCCTTGATGACAGCTT